CTCCTATCTATCGTTTTGAACAGTAGTCCTGCAGTTTCCAGCTGCCACATAACAGACGAACAAAACAGGCATATGATACAACAAAGAATATCAATATTTTATCCAATTAATAAATTTCTGTTACCAATATTATTTGATATCAATAATTCTATCACTTAATGTTCATTTTTTTAACTTTCTTCGCAAGATGATCTTTCTTCCTTATCATCATTTCTGTCACACATTATGTCTAGCAACTACATTTCATAATCTTTTCCTTCTCTCTTTTTCTTTCCATAGAATTCGTTTTACCTTTATTTTGAATCATCAACTTCTATCCGGAACTAATTTCATCATTTCAAACTGCTTCTTCTCTGCTACCTTCACTAATGAATGCTTACTTCAACTTTCACTTCTTTTCAATTTATATGTTTAGTTTTTTAACCGGTTTCTTGAAGTCATATTGTATGTCCTAGAATTCTGTTTTATAGATTTTTATTAACATTTACAATGAGATAGTTTTTCTCAGTGGAACAAAGTTTAATTATAACCATAATCCAATGTATATGCCAAGTCCATATCGATAGTCAGCGTTTTTTTGAGGAAGCGTAATGGTTGTTTCGTTACTGATCGTGTAATTTGCTTGGCTGTTTTATTTTCATATTCTTAATGGAATTAAGCAAAAATGCAAAAAGTTCTTTTTTTAGTTATTATTGTTAAATATTTCTCAGTTTTGCGAATTATATGAAAAACTAAGTTATTGATGAAATGATTGCGGATTTTATGATTCTATCTCAGCTGAACACATTTTAATTTGGAATTTATAATGTTTATCGTAATAAGCGTAACAGTTCAATGTGGTAGTAAGTAATTTCCTTCTCATTTTCTAAGGAAATCCATTTCATTCGACTTGAATATTTTCAATTGATCATTTCCGAATTCATTTCTAAACAAAGAATTTTATTGTCACCAAAAAATAAAAAAAAATCAACATGTATAAAAACTTGGATGGATTACAATTACTGGAAAAGTCACAGAGTGAAAAAGCTTGTACAATTCGACGAACCGAGGTGCTTTTGCTTCTACCCGACAGTATCGTTATCTGTCCAAGTAAAAAGAAAATCCAAAAGGACTGTGAAACCTGTGAAATTTTAGGACTTGTTAATTTTTAATATATTTTTTTTTCAATCCTCAAGATTTTTTTTCAATCCTTTCAATCCTATTAATTTTTCAATCCTAAAGATTTGCTGAGATACAGAGTTAAAAAAATGCGAAATCTGGTGAAATGAAAAATAAAATGGCTGATAGTTTGATTGCTGATGAGCTAGTTTTATGAGAGAGTTTCCTGCACCATCTTTAATGAAAATCGTACCTCTCCTTTTTAGTGAAATTCAAGAAATTAAAGAAGAGGAATGGAAGAAAAGAAGAAAAAAGGTAGAGAAGTAATCGCAACTGTCTGATGAAAGGATGTTATAGCGTTCTTTTATCAGTACATTCAGTACTGCTGTGGCGATAGATTCTTTTTTTATTAACATTTTAATATATCAGCATACTTTCATCGATTTCTTCCGTGTACTTTTATTACTTTTAAATATTTTAGAAATTAATAGTTCCATGACTCATGCGATATTTTAACTTTTTTTATTCCATGTATGAAACATTCTGTTGCATCATTAGATTGTGATGTCTGCTAATATCTAGGCGTGATAAGAGTTAATTAAGTGGTATCACGCTTGTACAAGTGATAGTAGTAATCTTAATCGTTAGAACAAACAAATGAATATCACCCGACAATCATTTTATCTAATAACACCTTTTACAAATAAGTGTTGGTCATTTCATTTTTTCATCTAATCTTCTTATCTTAGTGGTTCGAGACATTTTTTTAGATACAAACATTTATGAAATCTTCATTAACAGTAGTAAATATTTCCCTATAAAGATCAAAAAAATTGAAGAAATTTTAGAATTTATCTAACTTGTAATGATTACTATTCTCTTAATATATTCATTCATGTTTATACATTATTTCTTGATATGAAAGTCTTCTATGTTGTTGCATTCTGTTAGCACTACCACTCGTAACAACTAAAATATAAATAAGTAAATAAATAAAAACATTCATTAAGAGGATTATAAATTAATCTAGTATTGATTTCCTGACTGATTTAGCACCCAAAGTACAAATATTAAGCAATTTATTTCAGATTATTTTTTGCCAAAAAAGATTGTGATGAAATTCAATTGATCGCTTCAACTATTTCTGTTTTTTGCTTACAATATAAATAAGAAGCTTTGTTAACAAGTTTATTGCGGAATTAAAACAGATTTTTTAATAGTCCTTATTTACAGTGTTATAAATAACTTAGATAAAGATGGATCGGAAAGATCAACAGTTGAACTTTGATAATTGGAACCTTTTAGGAGATAATGCTACATTGCAAGAACTGTGGTGATAGCAATTATGCAACTGATCACAAAGCTAACACATAAATTGTATTGAATGGTAATAATTTTAAGCAAATAGACTAACAAGTTATATATATATCTCTCCCTGTGCTTCCCGCTTTTAGTATGTTCCTTTTAAAACTAAACATTAGAATTAGTTGTGTTTACCCACCGATCTTTTCAGCTTTCACTAATCCTAAAGTGGCATTTTCTGCTGAAATTGATAAATGTGATGCTTTGCAATCGGATGACCTCTGTGGAGATGTAACATCAGGAAAAAAATTCACACTCATTTTTGGCAAAATTGGGCAAATACCATAATGACGCTTTTATAAAATGGAAATTTATAAATTTGCTTACGGTAGTGACAATGATTTAAGATTACTTTAAAATGATGCGAACATTCTACTACGGTGTGCAAGCCAATGAAGCCAAATTGCACAAATCACCGATAGTGATTTAATGGAGAGGAAATAGTAAGTCGTGTGAGTTACTTGTAATGGATCCATGTAGAGTTTGGAATTTATATAAATAGATGAGTTAAATGTGAGTAATAAAGATTATGGTTCATGATCCCTGCTCATTCCATATCTTTTGTAAAGTCCTAACTGCTCCTTTCTTCACCTGAAATGTAGTTGATTGTCTGTTGTGCGCTGTGCATATTTCCAGATCGATGAAGCCAAAGGTATTCCGGTATAGTTTGGTTGTTGTGAATAAACAAGTTTTCATGTAGAGGAGAGAAATTTATCAAACAAATAGAACTGATGACATGACTGAACTTGTCATACCATACATTTTCAATTTTTAGCCAGCAGTATATAACAGCTTCAATCAAAAGCATACGAACATTACAAAAGAGAAATAAGTATTAGTTATCTTTTGTAAATCTAATCACATCTGATTTGAATAAAAATTGAGATTAATGTTATATTACAGAAAGAGTTGAACAATCGCTTGGAAGATTTCTCATCGGGTTGGCAGTAATCGCAATGTAATCCGTTGTCACTAAATTCATTCAGCAATTTGCGTATTATTTCCTGATACTTCCTATTAAGCATTTGTTTGAATTTTAAACAAATGATTTTGAAAATATAAATTGCACACTGTTATGTTTGTGGTAAGTGAAGGATTTGGGACACGCACTAATCTCAGGAATTCAGCTTGCATCATTCGATTTGACATCTGTCATCTAGGGAAACAAGAAAGATAGGCATCGTTCTGGAATACACTGATGGTTCTACATACCAGAACAAAGAACACTATGATATGTGCATATCTACAAAATCGTGAGCAATAACACATTAATTGCAAATTGTATTATCAATAATTTTTTGGCATTACCAGTATGAGCTATTTTGGAAGCTTGATGGGTCAGTAATATCAGTCAGACAGGTACATCCTTCCAAACTCAACTTTAACAATGTTGTTTGATGAGTATGAGTATTTATTGAAAAATTGGGTTGATGCTGATTACAGAATAATGATTTCTTTGTATAAGTACGTATAAATATTGCATAAGTTTAATTACTCTGATTCAGATCATCAGCTTATTGTCGGCAATACGAACAAGGTTGTGATTTCTTAATTCATCGAAGTTTCTAAGGCGTGCTTTCTACTTCGATACTGTTCAGTCATTATCACTTCCACATCGCGATACAGTATTTAGTCAGGTTCTTGGACATTCGGGACTAAAATTGAAGTAAACGAAGTTAAAAAGAAACATACAATTGAACTTAAATAAAATCTCATTGTTTACTCATTGTCTTGAAGAATAATGAATCATTTTTCCAAAAATCTTTTTCACTTGAAATGTAGAGTAACCAAATTCCGTTAGATTTGCAAACGGTTACTTCAAGCAGTTAACTATCGAGTAATGGTGCTCTTCCACCTACCCTTTCCTTTTTTTTTCTCGTTTACATTTATAAATGAGGGAGAGACTTTTTTAAAAAAATAAAAATTTCACTTTCCAATCAATATTTGGCAAAGATAATTTATGCACTTTGCACTTGAAAAGTTTATTTATATTTGTGGTATCAATTTTGCCTTGTTAGAAACTTTTCACTTTGTTAGAAAGTTTCTTTATTCCAAAGCCTTTCTTAATGTCATATATTATTTTTAATTTTTAGGTAAATCATAGCTTAAACTCGGGCAGTTTGGAGGTAATTTTTACTAATGTAAGACATAATCTAGCCAAAATCCTCCCTCAGGGAATAACCCGAAGATTATGTTTCCTTACTGCTTATGTAATAAAGTGATTTAAAATAAATTAGTTGCCAGAGAAGCGCTTTATTTGAATAAAGCAAAAAAATTTTCACGTAGAATGAGTGCGAAACGATATGACTAATTGAACTTGACGAATGTTTGTTCAGGCTTACATGTACGTATACGTGTAGGTATGTGTATGTATACGTGTATATATATGTATGTGTGCTTGTGTTTGTACGTGCCTACATGCGCCTTTACACACGTGTTTGATTTAGGTATGTGGAGAGTTTAGAATCGCAAAAAAAAAAATTTTCTTTCATTTTGGTTGAAAAAAGTTAAAATTTCTGTTCTGCAGAGTGTCGATAAGCATGGAAATGATGCTCGGAGCCAGTACAGCTAGTGCGCATTCTTTTTATGATATCAAGGATAAGTCTACTGGTATCATTTCACTTTCATTTTAGGATTTACTCAATCTTATTCTGTTAAGCTGTAGCTTTCCATATAATTCTCACAAAAATATATCTAACTGTAAAAAAAACATATCTAGCTACTCGCTTCAGATAGCAGTGCAGTCTGCGCAGTATGCGGTGATGGCCATGCCAAGCTACATTATGGTATCTTAGCTTGTTACGGATGCAAAGGATTCTTTCGACGAACGCTCACTGGAAAATATCGATATGTATGCAGATTCGGCAATAACTGTATCGTTGATAAATGTGAGCTAAACTTATGATCAGAAAAAAAATATATAGTGAAGTGGGAGGAGGATATTATACTATACTATACCATACTATGCTGTAGATATAAATATGCGAATTACATTACTGTCAGGTGTTGTTATTCAAAAAAATGCTTTTTTATTTAGTTCTCAACAACATTAGAAATGATATGGAAAGAATGCTTTTAACAGAAATAGAAAGTTAAAATCAAATTTTCTTCCACATTTTGTTCATAAGACACTGCACTTATGAATCGAAGAAATTGTAAAGTACGGTAGTAAACTTGAATCTTCTACAGAAAACTTCTACAGAAGATGTAGAGCTAATTTTAGCATCGGTTGTAAAGCACTGGAAACATTAAATATGTTCCTATATGTAATAAGGTAAATTTGCAGTCAAACTTTTTTAATCGACGCTCTTCTAAGAAGTCTATAATATAAAATTTTATGATTTAAGTCTTATTTTTAAGTGCCGCAATTGCAAAAAATTTCAAAATTATTCACTTAGTCAATCAAATATATGAATTTCAATGCTTTGATAGTAATAAAAATGCATAAAGATAATCTGCATAATTTGAGTTTGCAATATTACAATACAGATCATCATTTAGATCAGAGAAACAGTTGTCGGTATTGTCGTTTTCAACGGTGCTTGGAAGTTGGAATGGACCCTAAAGGTATTCTTGCTATGAAATAATTCTGCAACGCAGAAGTTTTTCAACTTTAATTTTAGAAACAGTTTATGTCGACTTTTTTAATTTACAGCTAGTTATAGTATAAATGACGTTCTACGATGTTAAAAAATCGACAACAGTTGTCACTAGATGTAGCCATTTGTGAAAAATATTCTTATAAATTAATCTTTACCTGTACTAAAGTAATATTATAGCAGTGAGACCAGATCGTGATTTAACTGGTAGACAACGAGTTCCACGTTTGCGGAAAAGACAGATTAATGAAGAATACTTAAATCACATGGCACGTAGTATTTTCTCTTTTCATTCTTTCACATATTATTACTACCCATTCATTATTCATTTCATTCAAGCTACAATTTTAATCTTTTATCTGTCAGAAAAACGCACTGTTGTTTATTTTAAAATAATAGAAGTTTATGTGATCCTCTCTACTTCATTTAATTTTCGAACTGCCTGACTTTTCACCAGTCAAAATTTCCTGATGAAAATATGTTTCAAAATATATTTGGATGCAGCGAACATTTATGTTATGATGAAGTTATTCCTTTGTAAGGCTTTTTATTGTGCTGGTATACCATGTGAACTAAACTGCTCAAGTTTTTTCTGGATTCATCAAATATATTTTGACTTAAGACATATCTTTTAGCGTAGCGGTAGTAGCAATTTTTTTAAATTGCGATTACAAGATGATGATTGGTCACGAAAACTATCAGTGGAATCGCGCATATTGCTAATGAAGTTGATGAATATTGAGTCAAAAATTGTTAAAGGAGATGACACATCATCCACAAGGAATAATACCAAGAACTCATTCAAGACCGTTTCTCTTCGGAAACTTTTTAAACAAAGGCCAGTTTTGGATAGTCGATCAACTAAGGTATCACATACTTTTGCTCTTTAACTCTTCATAAATACAAATATCTGTTACAACTTTGCTCCTTTCTCTTCCTTCACATCCAAATAGCGATAATACACTATATTTCCGTTTTGAAATTTTAGTTTCACGTATATTGTTACTAAACTAGATTTATGTGTTAATGAGATCACTGAACTGAAGTGAAGTCTATTACAGATTCTGTACGAACCATATCGGATGGCTCAACTTGATGAATTACCTCAGATTTCTCACCGCGGAGCGATGGCTGCCGTCGATTGGGTTGATTCATTGGCCGAACTAGCTGATATTACTAACACTGAAGATAAGGTGTACAATCGATATGGATTGATTCTTCTAATTATAGCGCTTACCGCCCGTTACAAGTTTAATTGGTTTAAGAACTAAAACTTTAAGAAAATTTATATCTATTCTTTTAGTTGTTAACAAAGTTTCAGAATTTCGATAAAATGAGTATCCAAAATACCACCTCTATTTGTTACAGGTTGCTCTTGTAAAAGCATGCTATTCACCTCTGACTATATTTAATTTTTCAACAAGAACTGCTCAAAACACAGATAATCCTGACATATTATGTCTATGCAGTTTTTCATATGTACCCAGGAAGCTTCCACTCGAATTCACTCAAACAAAGTGACGTATTTACTAATTGTCACACCATTAAAATTTTTCTTGTTCTCTTCTTTTTAATTGTCGGTTGTTGTTTCTTATTTTGCAGATGGTGCAAATAATGCATTGTGAGTTATTAATTATATAAAATCGTTTCAGTCAACTGTCTGATGATCTAATCAATAGAACGTTAAATGAATTGGTAGTCCCGCTGAGGAAGTTAAAATTGAAAGAGGAAGAAGTTGTGCCACTAAAAGCAGTTATAATTTTAAATCCAAGTATTTTTTTAAATAATTTATTGCATATTGTCGCGCTACTATTCCTGGATCAGTTTTCGGTGACAGAAAAGGCTTGTAGATGCGAAAGGTTTATCAGTGGCCGCTCAACAAGTTGTATCGGATCTTCGGGATCGTGTCCAAGAAGTACTATTCGAGGTTATCAAAGAATTGAATCCTACTTACACTGCCACTGCACGATTTGGCAATCTCCTTTTGTTATTACCTACAATTATGGTACGAATGCTGGCTTCACGAATGATATTTTTTTGAGCCATTTATTTGTATTGTCATGAAACAAAATAAAGAGAAGATGCATTTTAATTTCTTTTTTGCAAGTTTTCTTGGGAATGCTCCCGTTTTGAAAAAGTCAGAATCCAACCCTGAAAACTTTAAATAATGTTTGCAGACGTTATCTGGGACAATGAATAAGGATCTGCAATTCGTGCAAGCCTTAGCTAGAGGTCAGAAAGAGGATAATTTACTCAATGAAATGTTTGCTGAGATGTATGGCAAGTTAGATGACCCAGTAATCTCGACATCCTCACTATCGTCACTTGAAAATCCGGCCGAAATATCGTTAAAAGTTAGTCTTCATCATGCAATGAAATAAACTATATAACTAGTCACTGTATTGGAATGATGAGAACTATATTGCACATTTATTATTTGTTCCAGTGTGCCAGCTCATCACATCAATCAATAACAGTAAATGGCAATGTGATAAAGGAAGGGAAATTTAGAATGGATTCGAGCACACAAACCTATCCGGATGATAGTCTTAAAGGATCATTATCGAGTAGCAGCTTCTGCAAATCACTTACCCCTCCTAGCCATGTAAAACATTTCTTCACATCCTTTCACTATGTAGTAATGACCCCATATTGAAAGATGTTAATTGCGCCAAGTTCAAATATCTCATTTTATAATCCACTTCAATCAGTCTGAGAAAACATATACATTGCATAGGTTAGACGGAATGAACGGAATAAGTTACAGAACGCTTAATCAGGTGCAACAGTTGAGAAAGATACGATCTCTTGAAAGTTGCTACTCTTTGAATGTAGCCACAGTTTCTATCTTTGAAGTAAAATTTCTATCATTTTCTGTCACAGAAGACAAATGAAACCTCTGTGATCAACAAAAATTGCAGATCAGCTTCAGCCCACTTCATTATCTCCTGGATGATGATCTAACCAATTATTCACTTGCTCCCGATTATAGTGAGATTCATAATGATTCTGGTGATTTATTCTTCTTAATGGACGACATCAAATAATAACGGACACAATTCACTTGTTTGTATACAGTGCACCTACTAGACATATAACATTCTTCCAGTGCCTTTATTATTGTGATAACGTCTTTATCACTGTTTGAATTTTCACTTAAATTCGCTCAGTCATATCATGCTACTTACCCAAATATACTAAATAGAATTGTATTTTGAGCCAACATATGACAACTTTAATCACATCATTATTTAGACTAATTTCAGCTAAATAAATGAAAAGCTCTTTAGACTCATAAGTATCTTCCCACATTATAGTTTTTCATCTTCTAGCCAAAGAAATAAGTTATAAATTTAATAAAGTATATGAACATTGGAGCGACAATTCCAACTCCATTGCGAGAACTCACCTATTCTGTCCCCTATTCCCAATAACCCTATCTAATTGACCTCGAAAACCTCTCTACCCAATTCCTCACTTTACACTTTTTAATTTAAGCTAACTCAATTTCAAATCTCAACTTATCAGTTTGGTTTTCCAATTTGTACCAAATAGTAGTGACAGGTCCCCCTAACTGCACACTTCAGTATCTTTCATTGTAACTTAGCTGATTTCAGCAGCATTCCCTGCTTTGTACTATCGTCAGCATCTTTATTGGCCTAATGCACGAATATATATTGGTAGAGCAATATAAATCAGGTCATCCACAAAGATGCACTATCGTCACTGCAAGGAACCCTCTCTATATCATACCATGATAACCCTTCCTCGGAAAGCTGCATCGTTACCGCAAATAAACTGGAGACAAATTAAAACTGGAGGTTTTCCGCAAGGTCTCGTACTCATTAACCGCGTTCTGCTTGAATTCGATTCTGCTACCTCTTTATTGTAGCTCTAGTTATTTTTAATGTTAAGATTTTTATTTCTTTTAATAAAACTTTTTTTTAGATCTTTTTGTTTGGTTGCTTGATACGCAAGGGAAGCCTTCAAGAAAATGTAATTTAGTAATAATGTCCATTCAAAAACCAGTGACATTCTCAAATTGAAACAAATAAGTCAACTCTATAAAATAAAAAAAAATATTTGTTATCACAATTCGATATCAAGCAAATCGAAATTAAAATATAAACTGAAATCGTGGAGTCTTAGAACTTAAAATGAGCAGCAAACATTAAAACGTTAACAACTCAAGAGAATTTTATTTCAATCCCTCGGGACAGTACTTAGATTTAAAACAATCCTTCAGACTGAAATAACAATAAAATTAATGCAATGTATGGATATTAAAATAGATCCCTATTAAAGCAAATGATGGATATTTAGAAGATTCAGGTCAACTTATTATAAAACAATTAAAACTCTTGGATATCTCTTGATTGTGACACGATCTAATTTTTCTGCTAACAACTATTGTTCATTTGTTATCTCTAGGCAACAGGAAAATAAACGAAACTCTTAGATTTTGACAGGAAAATCTTTGGAGTGGAGTTATTACAAATTCATAACTCAGCAATTAATTTGTCCAGTTGTTCTTTACTCAATCTTTCAAATCTTCCAGTTAGTCGACCTGAAAATTTAATTTAACATTAATCATTTCACAAGGAAAAGTTAGAAGTTTATATGAAAAGCAAAAAAGAACCTTTGCTATCTTTCATCGGAGTTATTGCAACTATTTCAACATTGGAACTTGTAAGTTTTTCTTCCATTACTTGTTTCAAAATTGACAGCGCAATCTTTTCTGCCTCTACCAGTGATGTGGACTGTAACAAAACAAGCAAAGCAATAGGTTTCCAAAAATACTCAAGAAACCGTAATTATACTCAATAAACTGATTCTTATACAACCCTAATGTAAGAATGTATGAGTAGAAGATATAAATGAATCGTTTAGAACAGACTGTACAATGATGAACCTCAATATAATACCTCATGATATTGTTCTTTTAAACTTTGTTCTGCTCCATCTGAAGCAGCTCCAATTGACTTTGCCATACAATCGATGAAAGTACCCGATGGATCCAAATGAAAACTAAATATAACAACATTGTGGACACGAAGTACGAAGAAATCTAGTTATACTTATGTTTTATTATTAAAAAAAGGGAGGAATGAGTGGCCGTATACTCATTAAAGCTTTATAATCGAAAATGAAGGAAAATTTAAGGTGGAAAAGAACAAAAACATACAGACGTGGCCCATCTTGGTCAACTCCAGCGAAAAGCATAGCAACACCGAACGGTCTTGACATCGATGCCTGAAACACATTGTGTCTCAGGACTACGTATTTGTAAAAAACTTTTTTGACCGATTTTTTTTCTCTCTAGTTAAATCAAGAACATCTGGAACTATAAAAATAAAATGAACAATGAATACTAAATAAATTTATCTCAAAACACAATGTTCACATGAGCGGTAGATACATGGACGTATATGTCTATTTACATGCAAAAAGACGAACAAAAACGGTTGCTCACCAAACGATTTTTATAAATTCATAAAACAAAAATAAACATATAGAAAAAATGCGAAACAGGATAAAGGTAAACCTTCGCATCATCATCGCCAAACTGTAGTGCCAGATTAGCAACTGACATTGTTACATCCTCAACTCGAATTTTACGATTATATGTGAACCAGAAGTTTTGGGCTTCGATCTGTGCTCGTTCCACTAATGTTCTCGAATCGGCAATGAGACCAGCAAATGTTACTGCTGAAAAGCATGTTTGAGTAGAACTGTTTAAAGTCTTATTAAATTAACTGCTAACTTACCAACATGCGAATCAACTTTGGATATCTTTTCTGTGGCATCGTTTACCATTAATTTTGATGTAGCACGCTTTTCTGCTGCCAAAATTACCCCTTCAGTAGTGCGAATACCAATACTCGTTGAACCTAGCTAAAACAGACTTACTAAATGCAATGAAAATAAAGAAAATAAAGCCAGAACAAATACTTATATTTCAAATCACAAATCACCTTTACGGCTTCAATTGCATATTCAACTTGAAAAAGTCGACCTTCAGGCGAAAAAGTATTGACACCACGGTCATATTCACTTCTAGTCAAAAACATCGCCTGAAAACAACATCACGCGGATACAATATCAACAAAATGTTGGGACATGAACAATAAATGCAATTTGTGCGATACAAATTATGGATGGCCGAATATCTATAATTTACATGGCACAAACACCGACGACCTTAATTAAAAAGTGTTTCGTGCATTTTCACGATGGAATATTACTAATGTTTGTAAGACAATGGACAATATCTAGCCATAAATAAGAGTTAGCAAAATATTCAACTAAATGCTTGAAGCACCTTCGTATAATCTTTTTTTTAACTGACCATTTTCTGCAATATTTTAATAGTTCACAAGCAATTCTTTTCTTAAAGTAGTTTCCAATGATCAAAAATTCTTTGAATTATCAAGCTGTCAATCGTTCTTACTAAAATAACGCAGTAGTGGAGAATTATAAGTGGAAGAAAGGCATCAATAATATTTGGGCTGCTGAGCATCAATGACACATAAAATTTTGAATACTGACTTGTCTCCATTTTCATAACTCAGCACTGACTGCTGGGTTATGAAAATGGGGACAAGTTTTATATCAGATCAATAAAAATCTTAATACTTCCATATTGTCTACTCTATCTTCTCTCAAATTGTAGGATATTCTTCCTGAACATGATTTAGAAAGGTAAGCAGTTCAATACATAATATTCATGCAATTTATCAGTTAAATTATATAGATAATTAAGAAAATTTCTTAAAATGTGAAGTGAGGTAGAAGGGATATTCCAAAACAGTTGTAATAGTACAGTGTTGCTAATTGAATAATGGTTGTTTTTTCGTCATTTGCTCTCTTTAAACAAAGATCATTATGATACGATGGAAACCTCGAGATTGATATATTACTTATAAATACTTCGCAGATAACTTAAACATTAGTTTTCAATTGCTCATAACAAACACAGCATTGGTAAAACACATTCGTTTGCAACCTTAAGAAGACGATTTTGTAATACCAATCAGTTTCATACTGCTCCAGTTAAGGCCATGCGTCGTTTGCCGAAATTTTTATTGAATTAATGGTCCACTTCTTCAGCTCGTTATGAAATATTCATCCCAACAAGCATTTCGTCGTTATTGTCGATCCGTTTGGTTGGGACAGATATGTTCACTCTCTAGTGGTGATGTTTGCTAAATGTGGAATTGTGCGGAAATGATTTGATTAGAGTATGTTGTTACTTAGAGAGAATTGCTCTAAAAATGAATTGGAGGGAATGTGGGAAGTATGAAGCAAAATAAAAATGACTTTACTATTAGGTGATATGTTTCGGCAGTTTTTCTTCCCATCTTACCATGTTCATTCAATTATATTTTTGTCATGCTGTTCAGTCCAGAGTTATTATTATTATTGTTATTGTTATTGTTATTGTTATTGT